ACACACGACACATGCACTTCTTCCATGACCTAATGTGTCCATCAAGAAGAACAAGCATAACAGTTAATATGGTGCATAAATAATAGGAAATACAATTATGTACATAATACGAACATTAATATACAATCCTGAAATTAATTATAACAAAAGGTGGATTACTAACCAAATGCACAATGGACATAAACCGGCTTCCCCTCAGATCTCTTTTCACAAGCCCAACGTGCAGCTTTTTCAATTTGGTGCGGTGTTGGAGCTCTCGTATCCCAAGTTGCAAGACAAAGATACTCATCTGCTGGAACAAAGGAACTTCTTGGAAGCTCGCAAGTGCAATCTATGACAGATGGGCTTCCAGGGGGCAAATGTTTCAAGAGAAAGGGCCATCCTCCCAGATATAGGCCTTCCATGATCTTGTCATACACGGACTCCTTCCTCATGTATCTCTTAACCATTGCATATGTCCGAGCAAGCATCAAGAAAGAACCAAACAGTATAAATGACCAAAATGGAAATCTTCCCACTGAGTTCTTCCCCAAGATCCATGGTAGGTTGATGGCATCATGGGATGCAACCGTGACAACGAAAGCAACAATACTGGTGGCTAGGAAAGGAGGCACAACAATTCTCATGCCCAGCTGGCACAGCCCAACAGATGTGACAAGAAAAGCTGTCGCAGCGATGCCGGTCACCTTGGATATCCCCATTGTTATCTTTTATGATTATAAGATCACTTCTTCTGCATTGCCAGGACTAAATCTGCAGCAAAGTTTCCATCAGCAGATGTTCTTTTAGCAGAGTGGTGAAATTTGATTTTAATAAGTGAAAACACTTCACTTGTGGCGTGCAGCGCAGAGAGTTAGGTATATTCAATCTAGAAAGCAACATATACTAAGCATGCATGCGGGGGGGTTGAGGAATACAATGCACATTTTTGACATTTTTGGAACTAAGCTTTTTTCATGTGAAAACGAGTATCAGTTCCTAACAGGTAAGCAGTAAACATCGTTGAACAGCTTGATAGCATCTAACTCAGGGCCATACTGCAGAAAACAACAAAGCCCACGGACAGTGACTTAACCATTGAATCAGGCAGATTCACTTGTTGATCAATGCTGCTCTGTGCCCAGCAACCATGCGGATGGGGGAGGGGGTTCAAATTAACAAGCATGTCCGTTTGGTTATGTGAAATGCCAACTGTCTTAGTTTCTCCCTTTTTTCTTTTTTTCTTTCTGCTTCAGAAACACGGTGGTGACACTGACGCTCAAGGCACAATCACCCGGTCACCCCATTAACAAATCGAGTAACTAAGAGAAATTCCACCACGCCATTAACAAATCGAATGACTAGATCCTACCTAGATCGAAGCAGTGGGCCAAGATCCATCCGATCCAAACTTTATTACAAATACGATCAAGAGATATCAGCAACGACATTCATAAAACATATTGATCGAAAAAAAACATACATATCCACACTGAAATGTGAAGGAGGTAACCACAGTCCACATGACAGAAACGAAAGCGCGTCGTGTTCGCGCGCGAGGGAATAGCAAGGGGAGCAGTTCTGTAGATTACCTCGGCAGGCAAAAGCGAGAGGCAGGCGGGGTGGTGCCGGCCGGTGAGGAGAGCGCCTGGGGCCGTAGCGTGGGGGAATAGGAAGCGAAGCGGACAGGGGGTGGTGGGCTGGTGGTGGCAAGCCAAGGGATCCATCCATTCCTCCCGGCGGCAGCGGCATCGTCGGGGACGGAGACAAGCGGCTCCAACGAATTTTTTTTTTATCTTTTCTCTCTCATCATAGTCATCACCAAATGAAAAAAAAAATCCACATTACCTCTTAACTTTCACAACAGTCCATTTTCCCCCCTAAACTCAAAAACACCTTCTCACCCTTGAAAATCGTTCATCTTACCTCCCCGGCCCGGTTATAAACGGTTTTAAATACGGTTTTGTCTTTTTCTTTTTTATTTATTTTGGCCAAATCTTTAAAAAATTATATTAAATCATAGAAAAATCATAAAATAGAAAATACAATTTTGTTGGACTCCGCATGAGTAGATCTACACAGTGAACATATAATATGGTATGCTTTAGTACAAAGTTTTTGCTATAGCTTTAGATCTATACTTTTCTGTAATTAAATGAAATAATTCATAGCTGATGTTTTTATGGTCCAATTGTGATGATTTTTTATGATGGACTAATTATTGTATGCTCAAACTCATTGAATCATGTATAACTTAGTTATAGATTTTATTTAGGTTTATGCTTGTTAAATATAAATAAATCTATAACTACGCTATGAATGATCCAATGAGTATGAAATTTTTACTACAGTTCAATCATACAATAATTAGCATATCATAAAAATTTCACCACAATTAGACCATAGAAACCACAACTAAGAATTATTCCAATTTATTGCAGAAAAGTATAGATCTAAAACCACAACAAAACCTTTGTACTAAAGCATGCCTTATTATATATTAGCTGTGTAGATCTATTCATGTGGAGTCCAACAAAATTGAATTTTTTATTTTATGATTTTTCTATGATTTACTATGATTTTTTAAAGATTTAGCCGAAATAAATAAAAAAGAAAAAGACAAAACCGTCTTTAAAACCGATTATAACAGGGCAGGAAGATAAGATGAACGGTTTTAAAAGTTGAAGAGGTATTTTGTCTGTTTTTGAAGTTCAGGAGGAAAAACGGGCTCTCGCGAAAGCTGATGAAGGTAACGTGGAATTTTTCTTCGCCAATACACTGATCCTAACGCACCTGGTGGGCCGTCGAAATAAAAGCGCATCCGATCCCTCTCAACCAGATGTGGGCTTCCATCCGGCAGGATGTTCCTGATTTGGCAGGTCGGCCCATTTAGTTTAGTAGAAGTACAAAAGAGGAAAAAACGTCCTTTTGACCCCTCTGCTTGCATTCCGACAGGATGAGTTGCGGGGTCTTCCATTGTGCATCTGTCAGGTCAGGGTTGGCAGCACGTCGGAAATTTGATTGGTCAATTTGAGATTATAAAAACTGGTTAAAGTGCAAACAAAATTTGAATCCGTCGTGAATGAGCTTTGAAACCTCAATTATCCAAGTTCCAATCATCCAATGCAATGCCGCACACTTAGGTCCTTGATTTGGGTTAAAATTGTCATATCATCACATCCGCCCCATAGATTCATAGGTACTCAAATTTAGACGTGTGTATCATATATATATATATATATATATATATATATATATATATATATATATATATATATATATATATATATATATATATATATATATATATATTCCCTCGTTCTTAAAAGAATGGAATTATAGGTTTAGAATAAATTAGACTAGGTTTATAGAAAATAATAGAATTACGTCTAGTTTTGGCTCTTTGACTCTTCTCTTTGTTTAATTTGACCTCTAACTATAAAACCGTCTAACGCTGGTGTCTCAACTCCTAAAACTTTCAATTTGACCCAGAGTCATATGAAAACAATTTAAAACTAGCTCGAGGGTCATGATTGGTTTTGATAAATGAGGTGTCAAAGTTAGACAGAGGCAAGCGAACTGAGTGGTTAGGTTTCTTGTGGTGGACCCTGAGCCTAACGTCTGTACTTGTGTAATTCGCAAAAATAAAAAGAAAAAGTTAGACAGAGGCAAGAGTTGAGGGGCTAAAAGAAGTTAATCAAGTACTTTAGTTTTTATATACATTTATAAAAATTTTACATATTTGAATTTACTTTTTGATAAATATTTATATGTATTGAAATATTTATCTACACTTTATTAATATTTATTTGATCATTAAATATTTATTAATATATATGTCGGATATTTAAGCCATGACCCGCTATTGGAATATCACTGTCGGTTCTTGTCTCCTGGGATTCTAGTTCATGCTAGTACGTTGCAAGCTACGTCCTGCAGTACTATAGGGATGGATCTATATGTTTAAATATTCGGAAGATTCGTATTTAAGAAAATTATGAACTACCTGCCCGTGAAGAACAGAGTACCATCTAAAAATTTAACGATGTAAATGATAATTATTTTTATTATGACTAATGACATGCATCATATAAACTATTTAAAAGTTATCTATATGGCTAATCCTATTTATAACACAAATGTTAAGTTTAATTACTATTAAAAACTTGTATTAGCAATAAATTTAATATTATAATTAATGATATATAAAGGTTAAGTACATATTAAGTCTATATTTTGTCCCTCAATTCTTGTCTTTGTCTAATTTTGACCTCAACTACAAGACTTTGGCAGCTCAACTATCAAAACGGTTCAATTTTGAACCTAGAGCCATATGAAAACCACTAAAAAATGGCTTAAGGATCAAAATTGAACCATTTAGATATAGATAGTTAGTTGACAATGATGATTTTGTAGTTAGAGTTAAAATTAGACAAAGGCAAAAGTTGAGGAGCTCAAAATAGACTAAACTTATATATCCATATTTATTTTATAATGGTTTTACTATGAAAATATATTCTATAATTAATTTAATAATAAATAATTTGGTATCATAAATATTAGTGTGTTGATGAAATTTAAATTTATTTGATTTTTTCGGAAGTGAGAATTTTTTTTTAGAGAGGCAGAGTAGCAGAGGACAGGGGCCACGGGCCAGGTGTTCAGCTGAGCTGGGCAGAATTCTTGCACAAATCAAATCAGGATGCAAAATAGACGGTGCAGATCGCGCGTCGCCGCGGCGGCACCGGTGCCAGACAGTGCTGGCGCACGTGGCCTTTCTTTCCACCGAGTCCGATCCCTCCCTTCCTCCCTCTAGCACCCGCGGCGCCGTCTCCCTTACCAGCCGCCGCCGCCGCCGCCGCCTAGGCTTCACCGCCGTCAGAGCCGGCCCCCGCCACCCCAGGTCGAGGGCCGCAACCGCCGGAATCTGGCGGATGCGCCGCGGATTCCTCCTCGCCGCCGCCGCCGCCGCGCCGTCATTCATGGCGAGGCGTCGCCGGGTGGTACCAGAGCCATAATCCATGCTATTCAACATCCCACACTGCAAATCACAAGCTCCTGTAACCGCCGCCGCCGCCGTCGCAGCTATCTCCAGCCCCCGCTTCTCCTCCGCGTCACTGCCCCTGCCCCTGCCGGCGCTGGTTCCGCCGCCGCCTCCAACTCCGCTGCCTGAGGAGAGCCCGTTCGCCGCGCTGCTCGCCTCTGATCCCGCGCCGCCTGAGCCTCTCCGCCAGGTGCTCGCCACGGGCGACGTCCACGCCGCGCTCCGCGGCCTCCCGGGCCTCGCGCGCCAGCTGTTCCGGTGGGCGGAGGCCACCCCGCGCGGCTTCCCCCGCTCCGCCTCCGCGTTCGCCGCCGTCCTCGTCCCGCTCGCCCACGCCAACCACATCCGGGCCGCCTACCCCGTCTCGCTCCGCGCCCTGCACCTCGGCCTCCTCCTCCCTGTCCTGTCGCTCCTCCTCGCCGCTCCTCTATCTCCCGCCCTGCGCTCCCTATTGAGCCTCCTCCTACGCCTGTCCGCCAAGTTCTCGACGGAACGCGAGGCTCGTGACGCCACGCCCGCCGCCTGTTCGACGCTGTGCCTCGCCGCCTTTCGCGTGGTGGCGGGCCACGGCGTGGCCCCTGATGTCAGGGACTGCAACCGCGTGCTGCGCGTGCTCCGTGACGCGGCCAGGTGGGACGACGTCCGTGCTGTATACGGAGAGATGCTCCAGCTCGGGATTGAGCCGACCATTGTCACATACAACACTTTGCTGGATTCTTTCCTGAAGGAGGGGAGGAAGGACGAGGCTTCCATGCTGCTCAAGGAGATGGAAACCCAGGGGGGTGGTTGCTTGCTGAATGATGTCACGTACAATGTGGTGATTAGTTTCTTGGCCAGAGAAGGTCATCTGGAGGACTTGGCGAAGCTGGTTGACAGCATGCGGTTGTCAAAGAAAGCCTCATCCTTTACCTATAACCCACTTATCACTGCGTTGCTTGAAAGGGGTTTTGTACAAAAGGTTGAAGCTTTGCAGATGGAGATGGAGAATGAGGGCATTATGCCTACAGTGGTGACATACAATGCCATCATTCATGGGCTGCTTAAAAGTGAGCAGGTAGAGGCTGCGCAGCTGAAATTTGCGGAAATGAGAGCAATGGGCTTACTGCCAGACCTGATCACGTACAATTCTTTGCTAAATGGATATTGTAAGGCAGGTAACTTGAAGGAGGCTCATTGGTTGCTTGGCGATTTGAGGCGTGCAGGTTTAGCGCCAACAGTTTTGACATATAACACTCTTATAGATGGTTATTGTAGATTAGGTGATTTAGAGGAAGCTAGGAGATTGAAAGAGGAAATGGTAGAGCAGGGGTGTTTTCCTGATGTTTGTACATATACAATTCTCATGAATGGTTCACATAAGGTGAGGAACCTTCCTATGGCAAGAGAGTTCTTTGATGAGATGCTGAGCAAAGGTTTGCAGCCAGATTGCTTTGCCTATAACACAAGGATCTGTGCGGAGCTAACCCTAGGGGATACTCGTAAGGCTTTCCAGTTGAGTGAGGTGATGATGTTGAAAGGAATATACCCCGATACGGTCACATACAATGTTATAATCGATGGACTGTGCAAGACTGGTAACCTGAAAGATGCCAAAGATTTGAAGATGAAGATGGTCAGTGATGGTTTACAGCCTGACTGTATCACATACACCTGCTTGATTCATGCGCACTGTGAAAGAGGACTCCTAAGGGAAGCAAGGAAACTTCTTAATGGCATGGTCTCAGATGGTTTGCAACCCTCAGTTGTGACCTACACCATATTAATTCACACGTGTTGTAGAAGAGGAAACCTTTATTCAGCATATGGTTGGTTCCGGAAGATGCTGGATGCAGGAATTGAACCTAATGAAATAACATATAATGTGCTCATACATGCACTATGCAGGACAGGCAGAACTCTGTTGGCTTATCATCATTTTCACGAGATGCTGGAAAGGGGATTAGCGCCAAACAAATACACATATACTTTATTGATAGATGGGAGCTGTAGAGAAGGTAACTGGGCAGATGCAATAAGATTGTATTTTGAGATGCATCAAAATGGTATTCCTCCAGATTATTGCACACATAATGCATTGTTCAAGGGATTTGATAAAGGCCACATGTACCATGCAATCGAGTACTTGGAGAATATTGTTTTGGGGTGAATGGATTGGCCTCATTGAAAGATTGTCCTGCTGGCCTTGCATCACAGATATTTCCTGTAAGAACTTTCTCATGTATTGCAAATTTCTCTTCATCAGTGTACCATTATTTAGCTTTGCTCATTTCTTCAAGCATATTTACTCTTGAGCTCAGTCCGGAGATGATATGGTGTTTGTGGGCAATACCTTTCAAAAGGGAAAGAAAAAGAGAGTTCGAGACATTGTTCTCTGAGTTATGTTGCTGGGTGCTTTCAAAAGGATAGTTACGCACAAAAGTATCTCCTCTTGCTGCTCAGGAGATCATAGATGGAGTTTGGGGGGCAACTTTATCAAAAGATGAAAAACAAGATTCTGGAATCATGATCTCTTAGTTAAGCAGTTGGGTGCTTTCCAAAAGAATAGTTGAGCACAAGCAAGTCTTCCTCTTGTGGCTTAAACCGTGTCAGATTTCTTTGCTTGGCATTATACTCATGGAGATATGTTTTTTAATTGGAAACTGGGTGGCAGGAACTCGCTCCGGTTTCTGAAGATCTCTCATGATATTCTGCCCTTTTGTTATTTTCTTTTGATAATGTGTACTGGAAACCTGACCGCCGTTAATTCCTTATCCAACTATGTCAAATACTAAATGGCTGTGGCCTTCTGTGAAGGAGCTTTCTTCAGTTATACATAGGATTTCTCTTGGTAAGAACATTCCAAGAATCTTCTGTAATAAATGATTCTTGTATCACCAATTTTGCCATAGGCATGCTACAATATATTGACCTGTCAGATATGCAGTGCTCATGGACTGAAACTTTTCATGATCTTATCATGTCATGCTCCTAAAGTACTAGAATTATTTACCCTTTTGATTGCCTCTTCGTGTCATTTGTATTTTTTACTTTGTTCACTGTTTTTTTTTTGCCTCTTGGCGGATTCACTTATTATTTAGGTCACTAATACAGTCTTCAATGCACGCCGTTGACATTGATTTTCTGAATATATACTATAATGCTAGTAAATTTATAATGGTGTTGATGTAATTTTGATGATGACTCATTAATGTTTCCATCTCACAAAATTGAATACCTTTATATATAGTACTCCCTCAGGTCTGGTTTATTAGGCATAGTCTGACATAGCACGGTCTCCTAAATTATACTTTGACCATTCATTTATATTATATTATATTGTGTATGATTATAAACTTATGATTCTTGGATAGTATATTTGCTTACAAATCTAACAGTATAAAGTTTGTATTACAATAGTTAAAAAATGTTGGTCAAATTATTGGTCAAAGTTTATAAAGTTTGACTGCTGACATACATGAAATGCCTTATAAACTGGACCGGAGGGAGTAATTATCACATTTAAATTTTTTGACTACATGCTTTCTAGGATGACATAAATTTTGGACCAGAGTTAGTAAGGACAAGTACTGACGTCACACGTGCTGTCTTAATTACCTAATATGCTGTAGAAAAATAGCTTAATCTGACAGTATAGCTATCATATTTTGAATTAGAGAAGTCTTGATGCTGTAGGATTACAACCTCAGGGAAAAATAAAACTAAATAGTTGTTTGCAGCTGAAGTTCTCAGCATTTGGGAAATGGATCTACTGTCAACAGCTGAGGTCTCTTCTGCAACCCAAGAGTGCCTTGAGAATTCGCTTGGTCCATCTATCTACCAGCATGAACATATGTCCACCTTGTGTGACTTCAATATTTCATGATACTTGATCCATGGAATGGAAGCTTCTTGATACAGAACTCTCATTTTGATGAAACAGATTGGTAATATTCATTGGACAAATTCCCAACTTCCAAAAGACAAGTAAATCATGGTGGGTTTGATTCACAAAAGCCTTGTTGTTACCTTGATTTATTCTGAAAAAAATGAAATAGCAAATCAATGTTATGTCGACATATGTTAGAAAGGGGTAGGTTATAACATTGCTTTTGGTCAACTTTTAATACAAATATTTCATTTTTTTTCTTCCTGTAACTTTCATGTTAATATATTGTTGTCTCTACGGCAAGAACACATAAGAAGCTAATCCTTGTATTGTGTGTTCAATTTACAAGCTCTGTGAATTATTCCCTCCGTTCTAAATTATTAGACGTTTTGGCTTTTCTTAGCTTTTGCTATGTACTTAGATATACACTATGTCTAGATACCTAATAAAAACAATGTATCTAGAAATGTCAAAACGTCTTATAATTTGGAACAGAGGGAGTACTATTTTGTGTGCTACAACCTTTATTCTATGTTTTATATCTGAGGCTGTGGTTTTCCTCAATAGTTCTTGGCATTGCCATCATCTTCTGAAGAACAACCTCCATATCATGCCTGCAAAATATTTCAGGGTGGCGCATGGCTCCTGCAGCAGAGGGGAGCCACCTCTGGGTCATCCACTGGTAGAGCAAGGAAGGTGTGTTGTTTGCAATCCAGAGGTCAGAGGGACCTCTGCTGTCACAATTAATTTCTTGAAGGCCTGCCTGGACATTTTAAATGGGAAAGAAAGCCACCAATAGTTGATAGTTGGGACGATTAGTGCAGCATATACAGCTTTACTCTGAAATCTGAATTCTGAGTTGCATATTTCATTAACATGTATTTGGTTCTATCTATGTGCTTTACTGGTGGCATCCCCAAATAGAGTATCCTCCCATCTAGACCCCAAGACATATAACTTCTGCCCAAGATCCAGCTGGTCAGCGAGCTCCTTGATATCCAGTTCTTTGCTCTTGACATCCCTCTTGGGATTCGGGTCACCTTCCCCATACTCAGATCTATCAAAAGAAACTAAGTACATTCCCAATTTCTCCATTAGCTCCTTTATTGGCAAAGAAACCAGTAAGAAAAATATGGAGACAAACCAACATTTCACTTCAGTGTCCAGTGCTCTGTGACTGTGCTTTACCTTGGAAACAGGCAGGGTAAAGTCCTTGGTGCCTTGAAATGCATGTACTGTGGAGTGTGGATATTGTACCTGGCCTTGCTTTCTGTATTCTGTCTTCTCTGTGTGCAAGGTAACTTTCCATCCCTGAGCTTGATCCTGGTAGATGTCAGAGGATGCCCACCTGCCACCTGGTGAGCCACAATGTTTCAGAGATTCAGAGGTGGTCACTAGAGAGTTGCCGCAGTGCCCAGCCGAGGAACACAATTGGCAGAACAAATACTAATTTACGAGCCATTTTCTCGGGATCTGGTGCTTTCAGGTGAGAGAAGACAAATGTGAATATAGCTTTGAGTGGCATGGAAAGCATGCATTGTTGTCTGTCCTTTATTCCATTGCTGAGTGCTGATCTGTTTGCAACAGATGGCTTCCCATCACTGCTTTACTTATTTATTTGTGTCTGCATCTTTTGCTTTATTATCCTGATGGTTTTTTTCTTCTTCTGAAAATCCTTTATTCTGTTGATGATTTTAGACATGTAAATGTGACGTGGTCAATTTAGACCCAGATCTATGTTCACAGTTTGAAAATGCAGCATAAATTTGAATTATGCTCTAATCTGCAGAATTTCAAATTTCTGGTATGCAAGCATGGTGTGTGACAACTGACATGGGCACATTGAATTTTGCATGTTTTAGTGCAAGGATGATTGGCACGGTTTGCCTTACTTTATGGTGCTACTCCTGGGAGATGTGATGTTGCCTCCTGATGGTATAATGATGATACATTGCATTGAACTGAATGAGTGGTTGTTCGACCGGATCCTAGATTTTTAACTTTTTGCACGAATTGGCTTATCTGACAGGTTTTGCTCCTGTGTTGCTGTTTTTGTTGTTGTTGTTGTTGTTGCTGTTTTTGTGTCTTGAGCAGGGTGGTTGCAATTGCGAGATATCACTGCTCCGAATAAGAGATAAGATTTGCAATGCTGTTGTAATACAGTCCTAGTCATCTCCGAGTTGTTGGTGCCTACCTCATCGCTGGAAGATCAGACATCAGAAGCTGCTTAGCTCAGTGAATTATTCAGAGAATCAGAGGCGATCTCTTGCTCTCTGGTGATGATCAGAGCTGCAATCTGCACCATGCATTCATGATCTCTGCTCTGGCCGATGAAGGTGTCATTTGCTTTCAATGCGAGTGGGTACTGAAAAAGAATCTCTAAAGTTCACCAAAATATTGACCTGGTGAACTTGCAAGTATTGAGCCTCCAAAGTAGAGAGGGACTAGTGTATTGCCTGCCTGACTGGTGAGTGGTGACACATCCTAGATGCCAATGGTTACTCAGAGGCTCCAGAAACTGTTGACATTGATAGTGAAACAGCAGTGACCTGATCAAAATGACCTCAGACTTGCAAGTTGGTACTGTAACCAACTGAACTGAATCTGTGGGCATCAGCGAATGGATCCCAGATCAGAGGTCATTCATCCATCTGCCCACTTCTGTGGATTCGTGTATAGGATCACAGATTGGGATCCCAGCTCAGAGAGCCCATTCATCCATCAACCCACTTATGTGGATTGGTTTTAGGGTCACAGATTGGCACTTGTTGACCTCATTGTTGATAAAGACAGCGCGCTCAGGGAATGCCCAAAACACTGGTATTCTTGCTTTAAGAGATCTATTTTGCCAATGTAAGATTGCATTATGCATACAGAGGTCAACCACGACTGGTGGAATTTTAGGGCATGTCAACTGCACACCTGAGTGTTTCTCGAGTGCGCTCAGCACCCCATTGTTGCATATGCTGACCTGCATCTTCTTCCACCTTGGGCCATTGACAGTCTCGTCATGTGATTTTACCCCACTGGCGTCATGCTGCATCGGGTCACTAACCTTGAAGCCCCCAAATCCTAACCTTTACTTATCTGGAATCGACAAAGATGCTTCAAACACTCAAAGTGAGCATTAGCTTCCCCACAATTTTTAAGTTTAGCCGATTCAGAGGCACTTGTAGCAAAACTGAAAAGATATCGTCTTGGTTGTCTTATAACTGAGATGCTTGTACAGGTGTCTCATGCTCTTCAAGTTTGAACAAAATAGTTCTTTTTGGCTACTGATA